AGAGAAAGCTCAGATCATACACTGATCCTAATTCTGACAGCAATTAGCGTCATGCTAGCCTATGTGGTATATTATATTTAGTTTGTTTGTGATATCAGATTGAGGTTTTACTAATTTAAGAAAGTATTACACAAGTATGTTGCATATCGAGAGTATGAAGAGCTGCAACGATTTGTTATGTTTACTTGAAGTAACTTGTGTAGGAAATGTTAGCTTTGCAAGCTAATTGGTTAGCTGGAAGCACTACAGAAATGTTTACTTTGACATTTTGCTTAATTTAAATGACTTGAAATTTTATTATATAATTCAGAAGACACTATTTTTCTGGTTAATACTCTGTAAATCAATAAGCTGTATGGTTTTTGATTAGACACTGACTGAAATACCCCCAGAAAATAATTTAGGTGGCTAAGGGAGTTCGTTTTCCATCTGAAAGCCTCGAGACTTTCCCTCAGAGTAAACAGAAGCCATATATATACTAGTGTTTATATAGGGAAAACAAATAAATAGACAGTCACTGACCACAAAAAGTGATGTGCAGACATTTACGGATGCTCAACTTCCTCTTTTAATGGCTCTGTTAGCACACGTACAATGAAGTTTTGCATGTTAGAAAATACAGAAGAGGAATTCACTTAATTCCTGTCATTCATGGAGTGCGGTAATGTTGAGCATGCCTGTGGTCCATTATAGAGGACGAATCTAATTAAACCCTCTTTTAAAGTTTTGTTTACTGAACATCACAGAAGAAAGTGAACAAAACCAAATGTTTGGAATGATAGAAATGTGAGCACAACTTTGATATTTCAGAAATGTTTTTTGAGCAACAATTCAGCGAATTAGAATGATTTCTGAAGGATCATGTTACACAAGACTGGAGTAATGATGCTGAAAATTCAGTTTTTATCACAGGAATAAATTATAATTCTACATTCAGACTGTAATTTCTGTCTCTTTAAATAAACATCTTGCGTTTTGCATGTGAGATATTATAAAACATCTGTCATATTGAGCATGGCTTTGATGAATTCAGTCCTGCAGACGTGTGTGTGTTGGAGTGAACAGAGAGTCAGTGCTGGACCGTGCCTGGTACCGCTGGACACTTATTCTGTATCTCCGTCGTGAAAAAATCACCCTACTGTTTCATTGTCCTCTTGGAAGAAAAACATCATGGAAAATAGGTTGTTTTCCTTTGCTTTTTGTCATATTACGGCTCTCTTTAATGTCAATGGCTTTTTAGTACTTAAAGGAGAACTCCGGCGCAAAAGGAACCTTTGGTCTAATAAAACATTGGTACCTAGTCAACCGTTCTCTGAGATTTGTTTTCATGATAATCGAATGTAAAGAGTTTCATCTCTAAAAACTGTTTAGCGTATAACGCTAGTAATGGGGGCATATAATAAGTAAAACAAAATCGCTAGTTTATACCACTAACAAGGCTCAAAATAGCCCCACACGAACACAGTAACATAATGAGGGTCCCTACATGCAAAACGAAGCATTGAGAACTTTGTAAGTGTACAGACCGTTTAATAAGAAGATAAAGATAAAGACAGTCCACTTCGTGTATACAGACAGGAGCCATCTTTGGGAAACAGTCTCGACTAATCAAACCACGAACGCCATCCATACAGTTCAGCTCACTTAGCACGTCGTTCGTGGTTTGATTAGTCTTTATCTTTATCTTCTTATTAAACGGTCTGTACACTTACACAGTTCTCAAGGCTTCGTTTTGCATGTAGGGACCCTCATTATGTTACTGTGTTCGTGTGGGGCTATTTTGAGCCTTGTTAGTGGTATTAACTAGCGATTTCTTTGTACTTATTAAATGCCCCCATTACTAGCGTTATACGCTAAACAGTTTTTAGAGATAAAACTCTTTACATTCGATTATCATGAAAACAAATCTCAGAGAACGGTTGACTAGGTACCAATGTTTTATTAGACCAAGATATGAGATTCCATCGAGAAGAAAGCCAACAAGAGCAGAGCTAAAACTCTCCATAGTGCATATGTTACACGTCGGGAATTTATGAATGAACACTGTCAGCCCCAATTTACTAGAGCTGACCGTGCATGCTCCACTCCCAAACAAACAACACACGAATCGCGACGCGTGTGTCCCCACTCGTAATGAAGCGCTGGCAGGGACGAACACACGATCCAAGGCTGTTTGCTCTCCATACTCCTGTCTAATATATATATATATGCTTGTGGACAAACAACAATAAATAGACAGAGACAGAATCACACAGAGCGCTTGCTGAAGGCACAGAAGCCAGCGCGGTCTGTTTTCAGGTGTGCTTTATAGTTTCCTGGTCGATGACGTCACCCGCCGATGGCGTCTCATCTCTCCATTGGACTGATTATACACGTGCTTCACGACGCAATCACGCAGGGGCGTTCCCACAGCGTCTCGACGCAGCTCGAGTTCCCTTGAAAGGGAACTATGCCAGTATGCGGAGATTAGCCAATCATTACAGAGGGACATTTACATGTCATTTGCATACAGAGTGTTAAATGGTGTGCATTCATATGAGATAAATATCAGTAGCATAATACTGTATAATAAGCAGTTTTATTTTATATTATATGTGGGTCGCCATGTTGAGATCACATGACCAGCCGAATATGACAAAATTGGCAGCCCTCTTATTGGATATTTTCAAGATAAAGTTGAAATTATGACATACTAATTCATAATTATGAGAAATTGAAATTATGAGATAAAAAGTGAAAATTATGAGAAAAAAATGTGACTCTTATTTTTAACATGTCATAATTTGTCATAATAATGACATGAATGAGTTGAAATTATAAGATAAAAATTGAAATTTTGAGATAAAGTTGAAATTATGACATACTAAGTGATAATTATGTGATCAGATGGTCAAAGTTATGACATACTAAGTCATAAATAATTTGTATAATTATGAGATTAAAAAGTCAAAATGATGATATACTAAGAACGTTTTTGACTTATTTTCTACTTATTTTCATAGATGAGTCAAAATTAGGCTATAAGATAAAAAGTGGACATTTTTAGATGAAGTTGAAATGGCTTACTAAGTCATAAGTATGTGATGGAAGTCAAGACAAGTCATAATTGAGATAAATTGAAATGATGAGATAAAAGCCAAAATTACGACGCAAGTCTTTATTACAGAAAAAGTCAAAATTACTTTGTCATAATTTCATGTCAATTTTTTACTTTTCATCTCATATTCCTGACAGTGTCATAATTTCGCATTTATCGTAATGCCATTATTGTGACTTAGTATGTTTCGATTTTGACTTTTTATCTCATAATTATGATTTGCCAAAGCATGATTTATGTTTCCTATGTGTTGGAAATTCCATTCCCCAGGACAAAATGCTACAAAAAGTCTAACAATCAGCCATTTTACTCCGTGTGGTTAGAAATGATTTCCAAAAATAAATATGCAAACCACGACCTTGTTTACGGGGCACAATATTTTCTTATTTTAGATGTTCGGTGAGGGAATGCAAACACAAGGTCTTTGCATACGGTCTCTGAGCTTTCATTTGCCTGTACTCTTTTGTTCTATGTGGTGTTTTCACAGTGGGTTTGTAATCCGTCAGTCTGTGAACTGAAAGGAAATAAAGTAATAAATTGCTGTGTATCAAATCCCAAACACAAAGAACACAGGACTGGACTTCCTGGTCAGATTACAGGCGTGTAGAGCACTGTCAAACACTGACCTGTGATCAGTCATACATCTAATCCCTCGTGCTGTCCCAGACAGTCTCTGTGTTCTGTGCTACAGATGTGATGATTTAGGGGATCTGTCTGTTCAGGTCTCCAGATTCAGTCGTGTTTCTCTGCGAGTCCTGTGACTCAGCGGCTCCGTTCAGATTCTCATGAGCGTGCGAGTGGTTTGTTCTGTCACAACAGGACGTGAATGATTAGAACCGGTTACGCTGGAAACGTGAAGCAAATATGGGACAAAAGGCACTTTTATCTGACAAGTAAAAAAAAACCCTGAGATTCACTGAGCTGTGAACATTTAAGAAGAATTTCGTATTTTTTTGCTAATATTGGAGTCTCGTTTGGCGTTCGCTATGCAGAAAAAGTGTTAGACAAACAACTGTGATGTAATGTAAAGTTTAACACTTGTTATGTTTAAATTCTGGGAAAGAATTTTTACTTTGCAGGTCAAATTGACCCTGAATTTGAAACAAAAAAAATCACACGATCAAAAACTAAAAAATCAAAGCATTACAACAAAAATAACAAAGATAACAAATTATTTTTAAACCTGTATTTAACTTTTTTTTAACCATTTTTAAAAATAAAAGAACCATATAAATGTTTTTGTTTCATTTGTGTGTGATTCCTGAAGTTCAAACAGTAGAGCATGGCACTAACAACGCCAAAATTATGTGTTCGATTCGCAGTGAAATTAACATTCTTGAAATGATCAAAAAAAAAAGTGTACACCTTGAACGCAGTGTACATTTCTCTGGTTAAAAGTGTGTGCTAAATGCATAAATGTAAATGGTCTGTGCAGCTGTGGTTAACCATGTAATTGTGAGTCAAATTGACCGGCAAACATGAAAACGTCAGAATTTTTTTGTGAATCGTCAGAAACGTTTACAGGGAATGTCAAAACAGGGACGTTCATGACCCTAAATGAGAAATTTTCACAATATTTAAAAAAAAAGTATCCCTGGTTACCCAATATTTCCAACAACTTAAAATGATATGTTATTAAATATATGTAGTATGTTTAATTATTGATTTATTTGTTGTTTTTATTAGCTAAATCAGTCTGATACATGGATATCAATTGCCTATAGTTTCCTTTTGTGCAAACTTTTGTAAATATATTTGATAAATCAGTCTGATTTTGGTTAGTAGAAGCCTAGCTGTGTGCTAAAAATATACATATTTAAAAGTTTTCTTCAGCGCCATTGCTAGTGTTTGACTAGTAGTTAGTGTATATATTTCAAAACATTTCAATTTTGCTTCTTTTCAGGTGCTTTTGCAAAAGTAAAAGAGTCTCAGCGTATGAGCGACGAGGGGAAGATGGACCAAGAAGAAGCAGACGGCATTCGCAAACGCTGCAGGACTGTGGGATTCGCCCTGCAGGCCGAGATGAACCACTTCCACCAGCGCAGGGAGGTGGATTTCAAAGAGATGATGCAGGCGTATCTCCGCCAACAGATCGCCTTCTACCAGCGCGTAGGTCAGCAGTTAGAGAGAACCCTTCGCATGTACGAGAGCCTCTAGAGCCTGACCTTTGGCCTCTGGACTGCAATGGAGACACAACACTCCTGCGGACGGATATGCAAACGCTTTTTTACTCCCAAAGTTGGAATTTTTGAGTTCCAGACAGGATTATTTGCAAGAGAAACAGGACATTCTCGCTTCTGCACTTAAAAATGTCACTTTTAACCCCAGAAACCAACAATGCAGTTGCCTTTGATAAACCATGTATATCTTCATCTTCCCGTTTTGAATTTTATTTAAATGCCTGTTAGATCAGTCTTTCAGATTGCCTGTTACTTTTTCATATTTTTTATTCATTACTCACAGAGTCAGGTGTGCGAATGATGTTATCTGCGTGTTAGCAGGTGCAGACGCTAATCTGATGCCAAAAACTGGTCATGTGACAGGAGTTGTTTACGCATTAGTTTGCTAAAACGCAATTATCTCTTAAAAACATCAAATCGTGACACCGTGTCTTATCCAGGCGCATTGCAAGAAAAAAAGTGTCAAAAAAAATGCTGAACGTAAAATTTTTGTGAGTTGCCCGTATAGTTGCCCCCTCTGAAATCTCATTGGTCCAAAATCCTGTTCCAATTCACTGTATATAGAGTGCAACATTTGGGTTTCGGAAGTAAAAACTCCATTCATTTTCTCTATAGGGATTTTTCACTCTGTAGTGAGCAACAAGGTTGATAATTGACGGTTTAGTTTTAAAATAAAATAAAAATAAAAATTTAACAGCTGAATTCGTGGTGAAAAACTACATTACCCATGATGCTGTGCAGAGAATTCCACCAATCAGAGAGTCGCAGCTATTTAGCTCCACCCACTCCCATGAATATATATATATATGTATATTTTGCAAGATATTTTGTTTTTATATATATATATATAATCAATATTTTTTAAATGAGTGTTCTTATATTTCTCAATCGTTTTGATGATGCTATTTGCAATGCTTCATGGGATTGTAGTTCTTTTCATCTCTAAACCCGTTAAGTACACAGTCTTGTAATTTCTGATTTTCAAATACTTTTGCTTTAAATGTTGTGATTAACCTCGTAGCTGATTGGCTTGGTTCATGGCTTAAAAGGCTTTAACAAAGTTTTCTTTTTTTTATTCCTATGGAAAAAAATACTGAAAAAGTGGGCGGGCGCTGTTGCACTCCATTAAACAAAACATGTTCTGATTGGCTGGGATTTGTTGCTTCGGGGGAACATTTCGCTTTTAGTGACGATAGTAACATGACTTGACGCTGGAGACGTTCAACTGCTAAATTTGTTTGGACTATATGAGCAAAGAATTAAACCCACATAGCAGATTCATGTGGCTTCAGCTCGCTTCCAGGAAGTTTAATCAGATATCATGTTAATCTAGTTCCCCTTCAGGCAGCAGAAGATTCCTGAGTTTACGTGAAAGTAAGTTTTCTGATCTGATACAACGAGAGTCATGATATTCATCAGGGATTCAGATGAATCACAGCAGGCTTGCATAGCACGTTCTTCCACGCTGGATGGTCCGGTACTAATTTCTCCTTGTGTTATTAAGGCAACACATGTTTTTGTGAATTGTTGAGCAAGAATCCCCACCCAGAGATTCTGTGTATCAGATGGAAACACTTCAGTATTAGCATTAGCATTTAGCCTAACTGTTTGTTGTTCAGGGTTTTTCTAATGCAAAATGGAGCTCATATCCTCCTCGTCTCCTTTTTGTGTGCCCTCAGGAAAAACTTGAGAGGACTTTGAGCTTATGTTAATGGGTTTTGTTTTAATTTCCTCAAAAGTAGGCTAATCTTTATTTTTAGTTGCTAGGTTTAAGGGTTACAGAAGTTTATGTAAGTCTCAAGGCTGCAATCTGTGGTTAAGAGTTGTGATTTTTACAAGGCTTTTGGTTTAACTGTAAAACTCGTCTCAAGTTTCAGATTGTAAACTTGGATGTTCACTCTTTGCACACTTAGTAACTGAGGACCAAATGTAAACCTTTGGGTTTACCAATGTTTTACTATAAACATGTTCAAATCGGAGCAGATTTGGGCACAAGCAATGTATTAATGAATAAAAGCCGACATGAAATCACCGAAATTGACCGTTTACTTTCTTAATACACATTAATGCGTTTCTTTCAATGGATGAGATCAAATGTAACTCTTTCCCCGCCATTGACAGAATTTTCTGGCTTTCCGTGTTTTCACTGTTATACGGTAGGGGGCGCTATTACACATCTTCTGAAAGATTTCTGAATCTTCTGATTAAAAACACCGGTGAAGAAGAAGCAGAAACAAGCGATAGCATATGTAAGCAGATCCATATGTAAAATAACAACATGTTCATACAACAAAATATTCTGGGGGCCATGAAACTTGTGAAAATGACTTTTTTCAAAAACACTGGCGGGGAAAGAGTTAAAACAAAATGTAGGTTTTTTTAATTGTCAAAATATGTTGTATTATGAAAGTGAAATGGCCTGCGAACAGCATTTTATGTTGACTTTAACGTGATCACGTAACTTGTGGTTTGTAGAAGTTGTGTTTTGGTGTCCAGATGTTCATGTGCCCACAGAAGGAAATGGTCATCGCTTTCAAATCAGTTAAAGCAACACTGAAAGATCCTGTAGGGGATTTCTTTTCTGGTAAAGCAGGCGGGAAAAAATGCACATAAACAAAAGCCTCTGCTCTTAATTCTCTGGAAAACCTTGGAAGGCAAACAGACCTTGTGTCGAGGTTGCGTGTGTCCACTTGGCGACTTCACTCACATTCCGGGATACAGCTGAGCTCAAACACACAGCTTTAGTCACAACCAAAGACGCTTTTCCATGACTAGACTGATCCAAATATTCCCTTTTCTTAATGGTCTTCTTGCGTTTCGCACTAGAGTCAACAGCAATGTCACACCGGAAGATGGATTACACACATTCTGAGAGACAAATCAAGCAAATAAGAACAACAACTGCAGAAATGGACACAAAAACGTTTCTTTGGGGAACGGCAGACCTCACACGTATGATTTTGGACTCTTGTTAGGACGTGTGAAGCCGCGTCCAGCACATTGCTCTGTGTTTACTCACTGTAAGGAGGACAGTAGGATTTATATAATGTGTAGATTTTACACTTTTACACAGTTCTGGTGTCCAACAGGGGATCTGAATAAAGAGATCTCAAAATGGATTCAGTGTCTTTTTTTTGGTTTGAACTTGTAGGGAACTTTTGTTTTGTAAAGCAGAGATTTATGAGTGATTGCATGCATTCTGTTGCAAACCACCAATAAATTAGCTTTGAGATTTGAGTTATGGCACTGAAGTAGCAATGCCAGCAACATCAACGGACAAAAATAACCGTTTTTTTGTTTTCAGTTAACTCCTTAGGGAACATGTGGACATAAAATATCTGCCAACGTTACTTATTGTCATGTAAAATGCATACTAATTAAAAATGAGTAATGCCACAAGCAGTTTAAACCATAAAAATCCTATCTATCTATCTATCTATCTATCTATCTATCTATCTATCTATCTATCTATCTATCTATCTATCTATCTATCTATCTATCTATCTATCTATCCCTATAAATTATTTTAGTTTATCTACACTTCAAAAATGCAGGGTTGTTTTAACCCAAATTTGGGTCAAATATGGACAAACCCAACTGTTGGGTTAAAAATTTAATTAAAAGATTTAACCCAATGGCTGGGTTTGTCCATATTTTACCCATATTTGAGTTGAAACAACCCAGCATTTTTTAGAGTCTATCTATCTATCTATCTATCTATCTATCTATCTATCTATCTATCTATCTATCTATCTATCTATCTATCTATCTATCTATCTATCTATCTATCTATCTATCTATCTATCTATCTATCTATCTATCTATCTATCTATCATGTGTGACAGCAGAATTCGTGGCGAAAAACTACATTACAATTCAGTAGCTATAGCAAAACATGCCTAGATCTCTTTAGCCCCGCCCACTCCTGTGAAGCTAGTGTACTTATCAATGGTTTGATTAATTATTATTTTTACTTCTGAAATGTTGGACTGTTCAGATATGGTTTACACATAAAAGATGACCTCAATCTGTTCATCATTATTTTCTTAAATGATAAGTAAAACACACATTCACATGTGTATTTCATTCACACATACACACACACACACAAACTATTCTTAGACTGAACAAGATTCCTCTGGAGGTCCAGGCTTGTGAAGACGAGGAGGAATTTTAGACAGATCTGAAACTGCCAGCCATCTTGTGTGCAGATGAGCAGCTGACACAACGGGAAAAGGCTTGGGAAATGCCTAAATATGATAAGAATGAGATAACAACACTCCAGATTCAGGAGATCCACATTCCTTTTGATTAAATGGGATTAACATGGCAATAACACAATGAAAGTTAGCTTTTTAAGTTATTTTACGGGATTTATTTTCTGAACAAAAGCTCATAAAGCACTTCAGTGGAGTGTCTGCAGCGGGTCTCCGGCTTGGCTCTGACCCCTTAAGCAGGCAAATCCATAAATAATGGCTTTAAAGTCTCTTGATGTTTCATCCAGAGACCCCCCTCCCCCCTTAAAAAAAGATTTTCACTCAATATAGGCCAAAGGTCTTCGCCTTCTTAAGGTAGAAGAGGAAAATTCAGTCCGTTTGAAACCGAAATCATGCCGCAGGAACACTGAGCAGCTGTCATTGTGATGTAATGATGATCCAGTACTGTATGAAGAACAGCTTGATACGTGTGTCTGGCAATGAAAGGAAGGCCAGATGGTAATGTTCTCTTAACATGTAGTCCTTAATCTGTCCTTTGTTGCTGCTCATGTTCTGAAGAGTTTCTTCATGTAAAAGAAAAATCTGACATACACTAAGTGGTAGTTTAGGGGGAATAGGTTTTTTATTAAAGAAATGAATATTTTTTTTCAGCAAGGATGCTTTCATTTGATCAAAAGCTTCTAAAAAAAATCTATTTCAAATAAATGCTGCTCTATTCATCAAAGAATCCTGAAAATTGTGAAGCAGCACAACTTTTTTCAGCATTGATAATAATCAGAAATGTTTGTCAAATCAGCATATTAGAATGACGCTTAAGACTGGAGTAATGATGCTGAAAATTCACAGGAATAAATTACATTTTACAATATATTAAAACAGAAAACAGTTATTTTGGATTGTAATAATATTTCACAATTTCACTGTATTTTTGATCAAATAAATGCAGCCTTGTTTAGCAGAAGGGACTTGTTTTAAAAAAAGGCCCCAAACTTAATACATAAAGATTAGAATTTTAATTTTAAGATTTAAAAAAAGAAATTGGAAGATAATTAAATTTTTAAGAACAATCAACTTGGATGTTTAAGTCATTTCTACCTAAATTACATTAAACTCACTTTTAAAAATGATGAAAAAAATAAAATGAGTTGAATCTTGTATAACTTATAAAAAAGTTGAACTTATTTTGATGACTTAATTAAGGCAATGTAAATGATTATATGAAAAATGTATTTTAATATTGCTTCAAAATCGATATTTTACAGTTTTTCTGAATTGCTAAAACACATTTCTTGAATTCATCACTCACATTCTCAAAACCTTAAACAAAAAAACTAATTTTCAAACCACATTCAGAGAACCTCTGACTCTTCTGGCAAAATCAAACAATTGCCTTAAAACCA